AATTCAAAAATTAGCCGGGCGTGGTGGCACGTGCCTGTAGTCCCAGCTACTTGGGAGGCTGAGATACAAGAATTTCTTGAATCTGGGAGGTGGAGGTCCCAGCGAGCCAAGATTGCACCACTGCACTCTAGACTGGGCGATAGAGTGAGACTGTCAAAAAATAAAAAGAAAAAGAAAATTTTTAGTGACTGGGTCTCACTATGTTGCCCAGGCTGGAGAACAGTGGCTATTCACAGAGATGATCATAGAGCACTAAAGTGTTTAACTCCTGGGCTCAAGTGATCCTCTTGCCCCAACCTCCTGAGTACCTGGGACAATAGGTGCAAGCCACTGAGCCTGGCTTAAAATTTTAAAAATTGGTATCATATAGACTATAGTGTCTGATCTTAGTGCAATTAAGTTAGAGATTAAGTAGAGAATTAACTTACTCTCTTCTAGATCTCTCTACTTCCTTTTTAGAAGGTAAAGTACATCCATCAAATACGAGAATAGGCTTGATCCCATGAGATAGTAACATATTTACAAATTTCATACAAAATCCTACATACCTATGGAAAAAAAGAAAAATACATTTCAGTGCTTCGCCTTTCTTAAGGTAATACTTCTGCCCTATTTTAAGCCAGATGAGAAAACTATGAAAAGAGAAAGTTTTTTATTTTGTTATTTTAAGCAAATGTTTTCGTAGGAATTGGAACTCTAACTTACTAGACTTGGATTCAAATCCTGCCTTGGATACTTATGAGTCAAGTGATGTCTGGTGAACTACTTGATCCTCCAAGCCTTGGTTTCCTTACCTGTGAATTAAAAAGCTTTGATATCCCTTCTAATTCTCACATCTTTGGTTTCAAATCTGGTCTTTTCCCCTCATTTTTTTATGTTAAAAAATGTCAAATCTATTGAAAAGTTGAAAGAATAGTACAGTAAACACTGGATTCTTCCAACAATACCACATCACGGCTAAGTAATTTAATAGTGATATAATACTATTTAATACTATTTGTATTATAATTGGTACAATTGTCTCAGTAATGTTTCTTATATTCAGTGGTGTCCTGGTAAATGTTTAACAACCAGTTCTCGGGGAAGAGGTGCCTGATTTCCCTGAGATAAATATTCCTCAATGGCAGATGAGCTACCTAGGTGAACTCAATGAATGCTGAGCTGAGAAGACATGGTGTATAAAGAGCCCATATGAGTTGGCTCCAGGACACCACTGCTACTATTTTTTCCAAATCCAGGATCCAATCGAGGGTCAGGTATTACATTAGGTATTGGAACAAAAACAACTGCATTTACAACTTCTATCATTTTATAAAGAAAAGGACATTTTAGCTCAAAAACAGGAAGGGGAAAACAATCTTTAAAGGTAATCTTTTTGCATAACACAAACTTAGCAGCTAAAATAAAGAAAATAAAAGATGACCTTTTAAATCATATATAGTCATCTTGATGAAAGACTCACTACATTGTTATCCTTATTTTTTCTATTTGTTGTAGATCAGTGACAGTGAACTTGCATTGGCATGGAACAATGATTGGGACCTGCTGATCATAAAGCAAAATTTAGAAGAAAGCAAATAAGAAATAATAATGAAATTTATAACACATTTGTTTTTTTGCTAACCAGGATTAGCAGTATGTTTTCTGTACCCAAGAATGTGGAAGTCAGAAATTATCATGGATTTCAAAGCATTTGTTAAAACATTTATCTTAGGTTAAGAATTGGGCCAGGCATGGTGGCTCATGCCTGTAATCTCAGCACTTTGGGAGGCCAAAGCAGGTGGATCACTTGAGGTCAGGAGTTCGAGACCTGCCTGGCCAACATGGTGAAACCCTGTCTCTACTAAAAATACAAAAATTAGCCCGGCGTGGTGGTGCGTGCCTATAATCCCAGCTACTTGGGAGGTTGAGACAGGAGAATTGCTTGAACCTGGGAG